TGATTCATTATTCACCATCATCCTCCCAATTCATTACATGACTTACGTCAGGGTCTCCAACCTTTCTTGACTAACGGAAAACTTGGAATTTCTGGTAGTTGTAGTGGGTACCATAAGATTTACTGAGATAAAGGACGCGAAATGAAAAATATATTGTTCTTGCACGTGCTGTACCAACTGACTCTTGTTGAAATAAAGCGAAGAGTATAACGATTAATCGGACAATTAAAGAATTAAAATCTTTACGAATATTCTAAAATTCTCGCAGGCACCCTCACCTAAAACCTCTTGCAGCGCAAAGGCTATGCACAAACCTCTCTCGTCGCTTGGAAACAGTTGAAGTCAAACAGTGAACACTTTGCGACGTCAGGGCAGAAAATAACATGTACGTCGTCGCAATGAATAAGCAGTTCCGTTACTTCCGTACAACTTATTTTATGAAAAATAAGAATCTTTATCAATGCATGCGGCCTATAACATTTTAAAAATAATACACAAGGGGAAAAATGTTCCAAGCTGGAATTCACCTTCTAATCCTTACTGCAATTAACAAATTTTCCTGTATTCAGGTTCGAAGAGCTTTATGCCCTTCTAACATTTAGAAATGTGTAACATCCTCTGTATATAATGGCATATTCACTGCCGATGCTCTTCTTGACACATACATTCCAAATATTCCGACGTTGGTAGGTACAGTATGCCAGACACGTAGTTTTATCATCGACTGATACATTACGAGCGTGATTGTGTTTAAGTACTAAAATACCTAACAGCTAATCGATTAAGTTACATACAGAACCACCCTAATTCCATAGTGCATGGTTTTTTGAAAGTGTGGTAACTGTACAGTTTGTCAAGAAATTCCCTGCTCTTCTGGAATCCCAAAAAGTTACTACAGCTCCTAGATCTCTCAAGGGACCTTAGGCGTTGGAAGAGAACGTGTATACACAAACACACACAAGGACGTAATAATACCATGAGCAAACATTTCCTTAAAAGTACACAGACTAAAATATAATTCAGAAACTAGTAGAGAATTAATCCTAGTGTTAACAACAAAGTTAGGGTGGTTCAACTAATTTAAGTTGATGGTTCGGCAAGTATTATTTCCAACAAAATGTATGAAGGCTACAAATTGAAACTGCAACAAGACTGTATATTTCATATAAAAGCTTAACATGGAGATATCAGAGCTGTGAGCGAAATCCAGATTAAGCTCTCCTATGTCACAAGACTACGTTACACAATTCTAGCATGGCTAAGATTAAATAATTTATTGTTCAAGATGTCAGAGCACATGGCTGCTGTATCCAGTGCCATGCTGAGATTGAGGGATAAATTAATTAAAGACACAGAGGGAGCACATTTATTCCCAAGAAATTCTTAATCCTACAAACCTTGATGAATAGTTTAATATAAAAATATCAGTAGCCTAATAGAAGCAAAAGTAATGACTTCCAAATAAAAATATCATATCAGCTGTAAAATACTGAAATCCAACTACAGAACAATTTTTACAGCTAATCACAACCAACTAGAAACGGACGCAAATGGAAAGAACTGACATGCGTATGTAATATGAAGGAAATTCAGGTTCTCACGGCGGTGAGTATGAAGATGACTGTGTTCTGGGATATTGCACTGAGTTGTCGGGTCTCGCAAAACCTGTTAAAATCTATTGCGCTGGTCTTTGAAGCTCATGGCATGGAAATACACCACAATGTACGCTGTGCGTTAACCGACAGAGCCACTTCCTGGTTTGACTGCATGCAGCCTTTTAAAAATATTGCAATGGAGTACAGTGAATTCAGAAATAAATGTAGGTCACCAGTTCGAACACCATTTGCAGCGCCACATAAAGGCTCTTGTCTACAAGTAAAAGTGTAAAACGGACGCTGTTCGGTGCTAAATCCTTCTACGGGGTCCGACTGAGTAGGAACATCTCTTTCCTTTTACCTAATGACGGAGGCAGATTCAGTTCCCGAAATGCTGTTTGAGAAAAGCCAACACGACGGGCAGTATCCATAATGGCAGTCACTTTTACTGTAACACACCAGCCTCAAAAATATTTACATCTCGCCTGACTAATTACGGTGAGTAAGACTGCTAGATACGTGCCATTACCCTAATATTGCGAACGCTGTAATCATCGATTGAATTTCTAGCAGCATGGAACTGCTCCAGTTATTCAGTCACAAGCCGAGTTTCGAGTTTCAATCTCTCGACTGACCTCAATGCCGCTCCGATGCAGGGTTTGTATCAGATTGTAATAATAAAGGCAACAGGGAGCTGTGAGGTTATAACTCTACGTAGTTGACAAGTCGATTCCATTAAGAAGATGGAACAGAGGATTCACGCGGCGAACCACAAGCTCCAACACGCACTTAGTGACACCCGGCGGGGGACAGGCGAACAAACCGTCATATGGAAGAAAAAGAAAATTTCCTTCCTTCCATTTTAGCTTAATGGAACCCTTTTGTGTTTAGTGCACGTCTGTCGGTTTAGAAGCTTAGATTGTCAACAGATTAATTAAACTTGTTTCAGGCTGTGTTTCGGTTTTAGGATGTTAAGACTAGGTACAGTCTCAGGTATGCCACAATTATAAATGTACGTAGTGTACGATGCACATAAAGGGACGAGACATCGTGGCTGAGTTAAGAGAGTGCCTTCACCAGGGCTAGAACTCAGGACACTTTTTTCAAAGTTGTGGCCTCTCCGAAACAACTTCGGACTTGACCGAAAGGTTAAACCGATTTTCACCAAACTTGGCATACTTATTTCTTGAGATCAGGAAAAGAATATACGAGGGTCCAAAATTCTTAAAAGTGTCCTAAGTTCGATTCCTAGTGGGGGCAGTTCCTATAGGTCTGAAACTGAATAAGATAAGAGGGCCAGGATTTTTTGATTCGAGGAGGAGATCACAGAAACAGAAACTGGAACCCCGAAAAACTGTCCGGGGTTCGAGTTTCTGTAAAAGTGGGCATGGATAAAACAGTAATAAATTCTTATATAATATTCAACGACATGTGTTGAATGATCACTACAAGATTTTGAGAAATAAAATTGATAAAAAATGTACACGTGTGTTTAATTTCTGCTCAGTAACACTGCGGGCACTCTGCTACTTAAACGGGGGAATAAAAATGTAGTCTATAAAATGCAAACGTTTTCATTAGTTGGAGACATACTTTTAAACAAAAATATTTTTATGAATTCGTTTTATGAAAGCTAGATTTATGTCTTCCTTTCACGGAATAAAACGAAGGTATTCTGTATGAAATATATTAATCACAAATAAAATGTAGCCCGAGACTCAATAAGAGTCTATATTTGATAATATAAACCAAGACTTATTTCTGTGAAAACTGAACCGACGTAAGATATAAAAAGTAGCAGTGTGCATTGATATCGACGAGGCGACATTTCAGGAAGAAATAAAACCACCTAACATGCGCTGAGCCGGCTATTTATTCACAGTTACTACCCAAACAATCTACTACACTCAAGCACGGCTACATCTACTGCTCTACAGTCTACACACCACACAACCGACAGTTGAAACAGGTGCACAATAACATTAATACACGAATCGTTTCTTGAGTTGTCCAGGAAAATAGTTTTTCCAATCTCACAGTTAGATAAATATTGACGAAATCAGCTTTTAGTGCATTAAACTTTTTAACATTAATCCGCTGCACAGTCCACTGGCGTCTCGTGTTTTGTTGCTAAGACAGACTGATAGACTGCAATGATCAGTGACATATTGCAAATATTATAATTTTAAGATATATAATATTAATTAATTGTGCTTCTCAAATTCTGAATGTTGTTCTTCCTTATAAGTTGTACTGGCAACAATTTATTAAAAGGTAAAATTCTTAGATGCGCAATATTGGAGTATCAGAACGCATCTTATGGGCTTTAGTTACGGCTAATGGAAAACCGTGTTCCACATGGTGTCTTTTACACTCGTATATATTTGTGTTTTTCAAGTAGCGAACCTCGAAACGAACTGTGGACCGTCTGGGTTGGTTATTTATTATTGTAGTTTACTGAATTGTATCGGTAGTGATTTGTTAAATCGGTAGATCCGGAATGCTGGACAACCTAAAAGTGTCTCAGAGACATTCGTTGTTTAATCAAGGGAAATAATTTATCTTTTCATTAAATCTTTACTTCCATAAAACCTAATCTCAATATTAGCTTAGATCTCTGTATAATTAAATCAAGAGAGACTAAGGCTGCGTCTAGGTCGCGCGAGCAGGCGTTGTACTTAATTAAGAAAACATCGGTAGAGTACACTAATTATTGATAATATTCTTGCCTTTGCTGTCTATTACTTTCTTCGGCCTGCTTAAGCTGGTGTTAGCCATTGGTGACGTGTGCCAACGCAATATGAGAAAATGCTCGAAGGATCGGAGCGGAGCAAATGTTTTCTAACAGACTCGTACAGAAACCTTATTCCGTTATGGCCTTCCGCCCCTCTCGTCACTCAAAAGGTACCGAGATAACCTGTCTGTACAGTACGATGACTAAACTTCTGAGTAAGTTCTGAAGTTTACGTATTCATGTAGTTGAGATTGAGAGCGGTCTTCGGACAGGGAAATGTAAGAGTAATAGTCTAATTCTAACTAAACGGGAATAACATAAGTGCAACTGACCTTTGCTTCTCAATTAGAAGTCCCATCTCCTGCTCTGCGTTGAACTTCAGACTCAACGGTATTTGAATGAGAGCCATGTAACTGCTGTGTTAGTTACACAACTACAGAAGCCCCAAACACCAACTCGGGAGCGAAAACCACGATAGAAACAGATCTATTTGAATTTGCCCCTACAACTATCTGGCGAACATTTGTATCTGTGTAGACCCTACTCAATGCACACGTGGAATGATGAACCATTTTACTACCGTTGTTATTGTGCACAGACATCGGTTTTCAACTGTTCCACTACACACGACACCAGAGAGTAGATAAAGCTCGTTTAGAGACCTGGCTTACCGTTGGCATCCTTCGCCTCAAGCCCCTCAGCTTCCAGCACGATCACGTTCAGGACCACAATGGGAGGCTGAAACAAGACAAAAACGTCACAAAATAAAAAGGACCAACTACAAGAATATCAGATTTCAACGCAGGGTTATTTCTCCCTATTCTATTTTGTACTTTTGTACTGCCGTACAGTCTGGTAGAAGTTTACCTCTGAAACGCTGGAAAACTTCCACCAGATTGTACGGCGCCACGGTCAAAAAGACAGCCATTTTCGCCTTAATGCAATGTACCTTTGCTTCGAAACAAGCGACGTACAGTCAGAGACGAAGCACTCGGACAGAGGGCATGATAATGTGTAGCTTTATCAGGGCCATGCGGCAGTAATGGTCGAATATGAAGCAATGACGGAATGACGATTGATAAGAGGAAATCGCGAGTAAAGCCTGCTTCAGCTCCACTTCTTCCACCACAAATCTCACTTATAGTCCGGAACGGAGTCGGGATCTGCTCTGTGAGAAGCCAGCGTCTAGCAATTTAGATTTTTTCTGGTTTTCTAGCTGTACAGTCAACATTTTCAGAGGCTGACAAACGACAAATGTCACTCACTCTATGGTGCAGGATATTCTTTGAAAAGTAGATTATATGCTTGGCTTATCAAATAATAGTCCACAATATTTATGGAACCCGAAGGTTCATCACCGTGTTCACAAAAGCCCGCCACCGGACTTTACCCTGACGTAGCTGCAGCCAGTTTCCTAAATCGATTCCTAAGTGTCTGACTTCGATTGCATGAAGTCCTGTCAAGGGTTTTAAGAGCCTACTTTAAATTGTGTCACAGTACAAATGAACACTAAAAGCAATTACAAACTGTCAGATATCCATACACTGAGCAATATAATTGATGCGGATGTTTTAAGTCAACAGACTGAAGCAAAAGTTTCGTTGCATACAAGCACGAAAATATGCGTTAATTTGAGACAGTAAATTCTATGTCTCAAGCGCAAAATCTAACCAAAGAGAACACAATCCTTTCTGAGAAGCCAACAGTCGACTAGATAGTCAAGAAATGTCCCGACTCTTTAGCAAACCAGAGGTTCATTAACGTTTAACGTATTCCGTATTCAGAAGCCAGTCCACATTTTCAATGATTTTCATAACATCATTCATGAGCAACAAGCCAATTGGGACGTTCTAGTAAACTTCACGCAAGTTAGAGTTTATAATGGACAGATACGAACCCAACTGATATTCCTATTTTACAAACTTTATGTATTTGCTATTTTTTGATGAGATATCAAGAAGTTTTTTGCTTCACGGAGTTAGTTCCAATCAAGACACGTATTTGACTGAAATTGGTTCCGTTTAATACATAGTGATTCCACTAGCTTCTACAGACTCACCTTTTCTTCACTAGCGATGGCCATGAACTTCCGGTGAATGTCAGACAAGATGCCGAACGCTTCCTGAGCATAGGAGTATAGGTCCTCTTTGTAGTGTGAGTACTGGCCAGTAGAGGCACCCACTTTGTTGGTAATGGTGTACAACACCTCCACATACAGCTGCTCGAGCTAAGAACAAGAGAAGGTCGTGAACATAAACATTAATATTTCGGGAGTGTCCAACTAACAATCCGTGAACAATGTGCTGGAAAGAACATTTGGAACAATGACACAGAAAGTAACAGGACGACAGAGGAAGCATCACACTTTGTACTCTTCTCCTGCAGCAAATGATAATTCCACTTCCTGTACACCCCTTTCCACGCCGTGGTTTATTTATTTGAGGTTCTATGGGAGTAAGCGACACACAAGATTCTATTCTGAACCAGTGTATGGCAGTCCACATCTTCACCAATATTGTTCCCTCGAGATTTTTCAATGAACAGTTTGTGTAGATTTCGCTTTTCACTCATTCATGCAACAAATTCACCCCCTTTGAATTCATTATCGTAACAATATTTGATGAAGTTTTATAGTGAATACTCCTCGAGTAATGGCCCTAGCAGTATCAGATAACAGAACAATTCTAAATCTCATCATTAAGTAACT